ATCTCCTGAGACATTTTTATATGGAAATCGAGCAAATTTTGCATGAAAAAAAAAAACCGGTCATAGAAAAGAAACTATTTATTTTTAACTGTCTCACAGCATACCTACATATTGAACTACCAACACCGGGAAAAAATTTGTGTGTCATACTCACTTTAATAAAGATATTATTGTCATTATTATTATCATCATCATCATTATCATTATTGTTACAACTATCAGTGAACTGAAGGCTTATTCACGCAACTTGCATGAATGAAAAGAATGGCTTTTAAGTATAAACTACTTCCTTAAATGAATTCTTTGATTACTCCAATTTTGACTATAATCCTTGTATTTATTTGTAGTGGAACACCTTGATGTGCATTTTTATCACGATAAATAAAGACTTATTGTTACTCTTGTAAGTACTTTTGTCATCATCAATAAGATTATTAGTCAGCTGAAGGCTCCTACATGCAACTTCTACAAATACAATCATGCTGGTCGAAGTTTGATCTCCATGTGCTTTAATGAATGATCATGCCCTCCAAATGAGTACCAAGTTACTCCCTGCGCGTGACCTCCACCCTGGTACAAACCATTTGGATTTGCGTCATATCAGTAATTGTACCACCAGCCACCTCTGAAGGCCATTGCGCAGTTTCCATTGTCAAGGAAGTCGTTGTCTCTGTCCTTGGTTGTAAGTCTCATATTTCTAAAAGCAAAACAAACAATTTCGCAAGAAAATGAGGGAGAGCTGGGCGGCAATGCTGCCGGTAGAATTACATGGTTAGAAACATGCATCCTTGATCAGGAAGGTTAAAGATAAAAGGAATAGTAAGCAATTTCTAGAGAAACATTGTATGTTTAGTAATGCAGCAGAAATCAATGTATTGTCATGACGTTGGAAGGAACAATTATGGCTGGCAACAAACTTAAAGTTGGATTATCTGATCAACCATGATACCTGGATATGGGAATGCAATACTTCGTCATTTGGCTCGTCATTTTCACAAAGAACTGATCGACCTAGCTAATTAACTGCAAGCACCTTCAACTTTGGACAGCTATCAGTAAATTTCGTTGTTTTTCTACCAGGGCTTTTACGTAAATTAACATTATATGATTCATTCTGCATAGCACCAAAACCTGAAATGCCTGTAACATACCTGATAGGCCTGGAGAGATATAGCAATGCGTCGACTGGGGTGCCTTGGTCTCCATCGATCGTCATTCGATAGTCATCGCTTTCGTCGGCCACAGAGAAAGTCGTGTACTCCGCAAATCTTCGGTCACCTTCGTAATCCTCCATATCAGTGCGAACCATCATGTTGACAGATTCGGTCAGACGGTGAATGTAATCGTTTCCGAGCCAAAACTCACCCTTAAGATTTCCAAAGCCTTTTTTGTATGATTCCCAGTCAACATAAAAGTCTACAGAGCCATCCATGCGCCTTTGAAGGGTGGTCCATCCTCCGCCATCATTTGTCATGTCACACAGCACTTTAAAGGGTTCTTTCTCATCAGGGTAAATCCAGTACACACCGTCAGTTGTGAAGCTATTTTGATAATAGTCAAGACAGTTCTTGGGGCAATCTCTCAGATAAATAAAATAAAAATAACAATAAAAAGGCAAGAAAATCAAGTTATCTTCTATAATAAATAAACCGTACCAGATGGTTTGACATAAAATACTTGCGTATGTTTTGCGAGTTACGAGGAATTTTTCCACAACCCGTAACTTATAGTTTTTGAAATACCTCCTAGAGCCTTCGCTGAGCACCAATTTGATCGCATAAGACGTGCGCGTAAGATGAAAACAGCAGACACCAAATCATAAGATAAAACAACTCAGGTTTGGAAAGCAGCGTTACCATAGCTGGACTGCATATTTGGTTCTCACATTATTCTGTCATAATCGACGACCTAAGGTCTTTAAACTCGTAGAGCTTTGCTTGCTATAAAAAAACATCTCTTGATTAATCAGTTGAGGGAGATTTCGTCTCTTTAACTAAAAGAACAAAAGTTGCTCTCAAACCCCAAAAATGTAACGTATCTCCTCTTACCTCTGAGACACTTACAGAGGTAAATGTTTGATTTGCAGCTTGCGACACATATTGCGTTTTCTTTGCAAGGGGAATCTTCGGAGCTGCTCTAAAATTAGGTAAAGAAACGTTCATATTTTTAAGCAGTGATAGCGGACTTTTTTGTTTCGTCTTAAAAGTTGAATGCCCGTCGTCAATTTTAGATGAAAGTGCACAGACAGCTTTTGTACTCTGAAAAATGCAGGAATGATATTTTTGACACTGAAAAAACTGGATTCCGCTCGAACTTCGCCTGAGTACATATTTCTGGCCAAGGGAAGCTTTGGTCCTATGCGGTTTTTCTCTATTAACCACTATTTTTGTGCTCATAATCGCAGCAAACTTCAAGTAATAAAAACCCAAACTCAGTTGGCGAACTTTTAGTGTAAAACCTCTTTAAATCAGTGGGTGCACGGATAGGAAAGTGCCTAACTGTTTGTAAGTGTCCGAAAAAGAACACAGGCTTGCTATATTCCGCACCTGGTAAAGTTAGAAATTATTTTAGAACGATCCAGAAACGAAATGATTTTCGATAATATGACTCGCATATTGAGCCACAATTCATTATCAATGCGCTAAGATAAATCTAGTTAACCTTTATGCCTTTGTAGATGAAGTCTTTATCCCTAGTTAAGTTAGCAAATCCAGCAAATTGATTAGAGTCGCTTGGTTGACACTTGATTTCTCTGAGTCGCACTTAACAGTTCCAAAGTTGTAAGTCTGACATCGCTCTTCATCCACGCACTCGAGCTGACAGGAAGTTTCGAAATCCACTTCGACTTCTCTTATCAGGCTTCCGTTCAGTTTTTGTCCTTCTACCTTGTCGGCAAAGTTAACAGCTCTCAGATCTGGCTCTGAAAGGCGAGCTATGCTGTACACAATGGTACAACGAAGAAATATTATACAGAAATGCATGGGTATTATTTACCGTCGGAGAGTTTATGATAAAGAAGAAGAAATGTTTGTGTCATTTCTATTGCATTATTAGGTAATTAAGCAGGGGCAAAGAAATCGGCAGATTGAAAACAGTATAAGCTATTCCAAATACTTCTAAAGTGACTTTCAACTTATTCCTGTTGTTATATTTTCAAATTCTATTAGGTCGCCGTGTTTTTGCTTTTTTTTTTTTTTCACCGAGACTCTTTGAGAGTTCATTTATCCTTTTGCTCGTTAAAAGAGTCTAACTTAAACATAAAATAAATTGTTTTGCCCGATATTCGCAGCCAGATAAAAGAACCTTTAATTTTCTTTTATAGATATTTACATTGTTGTTCCTATAACTGATTAAAATTCAGAGACAATGACTCTTTCTTCGTCAAAATTTTAGTGGCATCTTTCAGATCCTGCTTTGAAATACGACAACTGACAGGAAGTTTCGGAATCCACTTCCACTTCTCTTACCAGGTTTCCGTTCAGCTTTTGTCCTTCTATCTTATCGGCAAAGTTAACAGCTCTCAGATCTGGCTCCGAAATGCGCCCGATGCCGTACACAACGCTGTCTGTTTAGATAGGAATGAGGATCTAGCGATTCTGGTTTAATGTCAGAGGAAAGTTTGTAGTTAAATGTTTTTTACCACCAGAAAAGCAATGAAGAGGGCGGGACAGTAGTCAAGCGGAGTTTTTGGAATAAGAGCGTGCATTGCAAATTTCCTACTACTTTTTTACCTCAGTTGCTAATTCAGGCCTGTTTTAACCGGTTCAAGAATTTTATCATCACGGAGGAACAAGTACTCCGTCATAGATTTCTGTCAACCTCCCATGTTTTTCTCATACTCCATGCAGCGTGCTTAATTGGAACATAAAAATGAAAATGAAAACATAATTGAATGTGTATCCATCATTCTTCGCACATAACTCATATTTTCACTTCTGTTTATTTTACTGATTAATTTTTAAGTTTATTTTTAAGTTACATGTTGCTTCCGATTGTTCACGCCCATTGTTTACCCCTCTGTCCAGAATTTGAACACATAAATAAAGGAGATAGCTACACCAGCTGTTTTTAGGTTTCTTTTTTATTCATACGTTTAGTTTCATTCGCAGTTTATACTTCTTATGACATAAATGATTTGAATCGCAACCAGGCGGTGTGCGCACTCCGATTGCATTGCATTGTGGTGGCGTTATTTTCGATATGGCGGTAAAAGCGGCAGAAAGCGGTAAATTTTGACTGAACATTCCTTAATAGCCAGGCGGTTTCTTCTTCCTTTCACTGTAGGTACATATAATTTGATATATTCTGAATGCGTAAAGTATTTTCCTGCGTATTTGTCGCGTATTCTATCGTTCTCAAGGACAAACGCTAGCACCGTTTTTTAGCATGTATTTTGAGACCAGTTTTCGTGAACGTCAAATTCGTTGTGCATCGTAGTTTGAAACCTTTCAAAGGTTTGTATGGCCCCTTTGATCCCTCTTCAACAGCTCTGACCAAACGCGCTCAAGCGCACTCCAACGGTACGAATGTTTTATGCATTTTAAGTGATAGTGTTTGAGACCCTTTTATGGAGTGAAAAGGCCCATTGCTGCGTTTAGTGTGCTGCGTTCAATAGCGTTACTACTGCAAGGACATTTATTATATGTACTCAATCGTGTTCTAAATCTACTTTCCTAAGTGAAGGAAAATTAACTAATCCCTAGTTTGGTGTGGTAAATCTTCTATCTTGATCATTGAATGAAGGACGGTTTAGTTAGAGCAATGAATTCTCAGTGAGCTAGGTACNCACAAGGTCTCTGTCTCTTTAATATGCGTTTGCATGTCAAGTGTCAATTCCCTGTTAAATAACTCGCATCTAGAAATATAATTTCTGACTTTGAAACTATTCATCCCGCCATCGGTTGTGAGTGTACCTATTGCCATTTGTATCGAGATTCTTAGGCAGATTGTAGTTTCGAATCTTAAGAACGAATTCGTCACGGAGGAATGACTGGAGTCACGCAGGCCCGTCAAACCTTTTAACTTTCGAAGGAACAACAACAGACAGTGAATCCCCATTACAATCCACGTATATTCACGCTATCTCGCTGCCACCAAAGAAGTTCACGACAACACGTCAAGATGGAAATAACTCAATTTTTGTCTGATGACCATGGTGCAACACAATCAGAGTGCGCACACCGCCTGAAACGTAACAAAGTGGTTATAAAAATTTTACAGGTCCAAGAATGTTCCAGAAACTAAGAGGTAGAAAGATATCTTCAATAGACGAGTTAGACAGAAGGAGTGATAAATCAAATGAAATTCCTCACCGCGTAACTTTTTTTACTGGGGTTGGGCTCTGATGAGCCTTTTAAACTTACTTATGGAGACTCCGATATGAAAATGAGTCACCCACTCACTAAGATTTAAACACTGTTATTCAGTTGTCCCGAACTCGCCCCAGAACAAAAACGGTAATGAAGTTATAACCGCGCATAAAAGCGAAGAGAGTCTTTGTTTAACAAATAGAGAAGCTCTGACTGAGCTCTGTTCTATTGTTAAGCACGCAGGAAGCGGCTACAGCGCGAAAGTGGTGTAAGGAGAAAAACCAGACGTAGTTGAGTGTTTCTCTTCACTATTGCATTATTCCTGTTTTTTAGTCTCTATGTTTAGAGCATTGTTTATTGAGATCCGGCAATTTTTCCACATGAAAAATCGAAAACAAACAAAGACCTGCATTGAAACTTCAGCACATGCAGGGAATTAGTCATTGTCCTACATAAGAGATCGAGGTAAATCAACAAACGTTCCTTAGTTTTACGTTATCAAGCAGTATGACAGCCTTTATCTATTGGGAGTCACGAAGGTATGAGGTAATTGCAGTTTATATATTAAGGGCT